GGTCCTAACACTTCCCTGTCTCTACTGGAAGTATCTCATCTGATGCATTTTAGGATCGCATTAGCCTTTTTCATAGTCACATCACATTGGTGGCTCATAGTCATCCTGTGATCAACCATTATACCCAGGTCTTCCTCCTCAGAGCTTCCAACTCATAAATCCCCAGCTTATAGAAAAAAATATTGTTGTTAGTCCACAAATGCATGACTTTGCATTTTGCACTTTTACATTTAATCCCATTTCTATTATGCCGGTTTTCAAGGTCATCCAGATCTTCTTATATGATATTCTGGTCCTCATCTGTATTGGCAATACCTCCCAACTTTGTGTCATCTGCAAATTTTATTAGCACACTCCCACTTTTTGTGCAAAGGTCATTAATAAAAATGTTAAATAAGACTGGTACCATAACTGATCCTGGAAGAACTCCACTAGTAATTTCCCTCCAGCCTGACCATTCACCTTTCAGTATGACCTGTTGAGGTCTCCCCTTTAACCATTTTCTTATCCACCTTACAATTCTCATATTAATCCACACCTTCTCCAATTTAATGAATAATTTCCCATGTGGAACTGTATCGAATGCCTTACTGAAATCCAGGTAGATTAGAGGTACTGCATTTCCTTTGTCTAAAAAAATCAGTTATCTTCTCAAAGAAGGAGATCAGTTTGGTATGGCATGATCTATCTTTTGTAAAACCATATTGCATTTTATCCTAGTTACTGTTTATCTCTATGTTCTTAACTACTTTCTCCTTCAAAATTTGTTCCAAGTCCTTGCATACAATTGAAGTCAAACCAACTGCAGAGGATTGAGCAAATGGTGGAAGGGGGTCAAAGAGTATCTGCAACAACACTAGTTAAGTTAGTTAAGAGTAGGAAAACTCATATGAAGTAGATGTTTCTGCTCCAGCAGATGGAGTCGTAGGGTGGGATTCTCCACTGCTTTGTTCAGTCATTTACATCTTGTGTAGAGCGAGTGCAAAAAATGCCACCAAAATCAGAATGGTGGTGTTCTACCCTCACGGCACAGCTATATACAGCTGCAGAGAAGCAGGTCCAGAGATCATCTCTTGAATGGCATGGGTGGGGTAGATGGCTGTTTTGAGGAGTTGGCACCCTCAGGACTTGCACAAATACCCTCAATGGGTTGCTTGCCATGGGGTAGTGGGTCACGGTATGTTCTTCCTGAAGTACTTTGCTAGAATTCTTCAGAAACATCTTCAGTATCAGGACGGGACATTAAAATTAATTTCCTTAAAAATTATTTGAGTTTCCCTGTAGTGGCACTATTACAAGAAAAATCTTGTACCACATAAATAGCCACTGGTGTAAAGTTATGGCTCCTGTTCAATATGTTTTTTGGATAAAAATCCTAGGATCTGCACATGGCCAACAGATTGACAAAGTTCAGCCACTGCATAAAGCCATTTTATATATTTTTTCCTTTGGTGTTACTCAGGCTAAGGTGGGAAAATCCTCATGTCAATGAATTTTCTTCCTTACTACACACCAAAGCACTTGATTTATCCACACTTTCAAACCCAGTCTGCGGTTTAGTGGTACATATCTGAACCCAAGCCTAAATAACTTCTCTAAATGACTGCGGACAGGGGACTAAGCTCAAGGACCAAGACAAAAAATTAGGTGTGTTTTTACTTTGCTCTCTTACAAGACAGAGATGGTTTTTTTCTGTCTTGTAGAGGGCTTTCTTCTTTATATTTTCCCACCTCTTGTATTTTTTAAGGAAGGGTTTGACAGATACTAAGATTTCATTCCTGCTGTTATCTAAGAGAAGAGCTGTCTGCAAGCTGCAATTTCAGGCTTCTGCAAAATACTCTATATGCACTGAACAGTGCAGAAGTGCAAATTTAAACACACATCAATAAAAGCAATCCTCAGATATAAACATGGAAAATATCATTTTCTTCGGATGACAATGAGGTAGATCTACACGTCTCATAATTCCTGAAATAACTGTAAAGTACATTTCTAGAGATGTTTAGTATGCTGCTACTGGAGTTTCGATAGACACAGATTTCTGTAAGGTACTTTGAAGGAACCTTGAGACTTTGAGCTTCAGTGCCCTTAAACTGGCATTAGAACCCTAGAACATTAGAAAAGATAAGGAAAGTCCACACAGACTCTCATTGAAAGATACTAATAGGGCTTCTAGAGACCTTCACAATAAGAAAATTTTGATTCAGGACCATCAAAACGTTTCATTTTGATAGTGTTGAAGTGTTTGTTTTGACTCTTGATTTCATTACTAAATATTTGTTACATATATACACAGTATTAAATATATAGAAATTTAACATAAAATTAATATTTTAATATAATACACAAGTCTATATTAAATTAATTGAAACATTTGACATTTTCCTATTGAAAAACTGGTCATAATCGACACATTCTCATGAAACACTTCAATTTCGATTAAACTGTATTTTTTGATAGAAAACTGTCCTGTTAAAAACATTTCAACTAGCTCTAAACAGCAGTTGGGACTGGCTAATTTGGTCTTGCGGGACTGCTGTATTATGCATGCTCCTAGGCAGAACGTTTCATTTTTTATGTTTATGATTACAGCCCCATGTTAACTACTGTGACTATGCAAAGCTTATTTTTAGTTCTGCTTCAGATTTGTAAAATATTTTTAATTTACTTTTATTTGCAGCTATTAGGAATGATATTTTAAAAATAGAGAGCGGAAGAAGGAACCCAACTAGCTATCACCAAATCAGACAGCTTTGCAGGTCTAGGAATCAGAAAGACTCCATGGAATGGAGTGTTAAAATGTAGGTAATATTGTAGGTGGAGCTTAGCGAGTAACTGACCACTGTTGAGGCCTAACGGGTTCACGGCCAGCCTACCTTAAAGGCTCTTCTCCCCATATAATACCACAACAATTGTGCTCAGCAGATATACCCGAGTTAACATTCCCCTGGTTTAAAAGGGAGGAGAGTGGTGGCATGTTTTTTTCTGTGATGGGCGCTTAATTCTGGAGCTTGCCCCCCATACCTACAACCTTCACCAGGATTGGTTAATCCAAAGGCATGATGCAAAATCCACTGTTTTTCTTGGAATTTCAATAAGGGCGGGGGGGAGGTTGATGATTAAGAATGGCTGGATGTGGGGATAATTATTTTATTATTTTTAATTATTGTATTGATATTTATTCTGGGCTAATATTTTTTCAGATTGTATGGTTTGGGTTGGATAATTTGTTTGTATTTTGTATTGATAGTTGTGTGTTTTTATACAATTTAAATTTGGTCCAAGCACAGAGCTATGAGATAGAGGCTTTCCGCAAATGGAAATAAATATATGCAGTGTAGGACCCTCAAGTGATGCAGATAGTTTGCTAAAACATGACATCAGGGGACACACTGAACCAGAGAAGATTTATGCTCAAGACAAAAATTTTGCCAGAGAAATGACCTAGCAGATGGAATGGGGTAACCCCACATGCTCATTAACAATATCTGGGATGGCTCTTTATGTGTGCCAAAATGAGTGACTTTGAATTAGCTTGTTTAGGACTGAGTGCTTATTGAATTTTTTTCTCCTATTCACTATCCTGTGCCAGACCCTGGAAATGCTCATTAGAAGAACACAGACAGGAATAAGGAATACACACATATAAGAAGATAAGAATGGCCATACTGGGTCAGACCAATGGTCCATCTAGCCCAGTATCCTGTCTTCCGACAATCACCAGTGCCAGATACTTTATAGGGAATGAACAGAAGAAGGCAATTATTGAGTGATCCATCCCCTGTCATCCAGCTTCTGGAAGACAAATACCTTTCCCTTTAAAGATTATTTGTGCTATGTTCTATGACAGCCTACCTATTGTAGAAGCAGAGAAAAAGATAAAGGGAATTTGAACGCAGATATCTTAACTTTTAGGAATAAAGTAAGAGTCAGGCTAACACTAGCTCTAATAATGCGAGATTTCAGGCAGGGTCTGGGCAAGTGGAAAGCGAGTGGAACAAATAACTGTAAGAGATACTGTTTTTCGACCTTGTGTTAGATAAGAATGGAATACAGAGTGTAGCAGGAACTGCTGAGAAAAGTAAGATATCAGAAGGAATATGTATAAACCAGATGCGGTTGTTGATCATTATTGTCTGTAACAAAAGGTATAAATGCTTGCCCTAATTGTGTATCTAACGGAGACCTGCCTGGGACGGGGGGAACCCCTGTCTGGGTGTACTCTCCCCTTGCAAGTGTCAGGAAAATAAACTGTCTCTGACTTGTTGCAACCAACCTGAGAGCGAAGACTCTGTTTTCTTCCACACTATTCACTATCTATTGTTTATTATTCCTTGTTCTTTAATTTTAAATGTTTCAGTCAGCCATTTAGAAACAACACTATGGACCAGACTGCAAATCCCTTATTCACACTAGTAAAAAAATTATTCACAAAAGTACTCCTATTGAAGTCAAGAGGAAAACCTGTGGGGAGAGTAGGGCTCACACAATTTGGCCCTCTGAGACTCACACTGCATGAATAGCACATAGTTAGGAGTCAAAGTGATTCATTTGACACAGCACACTGGCTGCAATTCATTCATTTAAACTATTCAAATAAGTCAGTAGAGGTTTGTGAACTATTCACAATCAGAAAAAGAGAGTTGCAGTTTCAGACAATTTATTAATCAGAATTCAATGAGCTCTAGTTTGGTGACTGGGGATTCCACAAAAGCTGTTACAGTGAAAAATGGGAACTGCTAAAGAAAAAGGTTAGGAGAACATACAAACTTTTACAAACAACGTCTTCACTTCTCCATTATGAAGTAACTAATGAACTGTAAACAACATTTAGAGGCCTTGATCCTTGTTTTATATTTTTAGGCCTCTTTAAATAGGTGATTCCAGATGCATTTTCCTGGGTATGAACCAATAAACTAGAATATACAGAAAACACGATGTGTTTCATGATACTGAAAACCAGAGTTTAGCCTATCAAATGACAGTCTGCAAAATCTTACCATAACACGCCTTTCGTAATGATCATGCTCTTTTTCAAAATCTATCATGTAGCCATTTAGAGACCAAATAAATGTCAGATCCAACGTGGTATCATAGGATGCAATACACTGCATGGTGGCATTCTCTCCAACTGTGACATCAACATTAGTTGGTGCTAAGGTAATCTTTGTAGCTTCTGTGAAGTTAAAAGAAAATGTGGAAAATTCTAATAAACAAGTGAATATACAGATGCAAATCTAGCTGTTTCATTATACATGAAAAGAACAAACTGATTTACATGTTATTTATACAACTACATTTCAAAGGGGAACACTGATTAGAACAGAGGGGTGCTATCTTAAGAAAAGTGACACCCTTACAACTGAAATGTCTTGGCTTTTGATTGCTCATTCTCTGATAATACACATTTTAGCCTCTTGATCATGATGACTATAAAAAACTATGCTGATTTATTTTTATTCACAGACTATTTCATGTGTAGAAGACAGATGATCTATTTTGCATGACCCATTGTGTATATTTTTGTTCATAACAATCCTGGCTTTTTTTTTTTAAAAAACATCATTAAAGAATGGGGAGCTCTGCTTAGTACTCTCATTTCCATTACTCCACCCTGGAAAGGGGGATTCTAATGCGTCTATTAAGAAAGAATGTTTAATTCTGCATGTAATGCAAATAGCTATGATGGGAAGGGACAGAAGAGAATAGAAGCAAAGAAGAAAACTATGTATAATCAGAGCTTACTATAATCAAGAAAAAAAGAAGAGCAGGGGACTCCATGAAATCCCTCAGAGATCTTGCTGTACAGATCTAATTTAGCTGACACATGCTTTGATACCAAAGAGCTTAGCATAATAGAAGGGAATGGTATTCTAGCCATGTGCATGTACATTTGGTAGCTGATTTTATAATTGTTGCTGGATTTTGTTTTGTATGGTAGAGTCTTCTATCAACCTAGAGGTATTCTAGGGTATGTCTGCACTGCACTCGTCTTTCAGCGGCGGGTCATATACATACTCATGTAGGCCCCCAGCACAGGTATAAACAACAGCGTAGACCATGAGGCATGGCTTATGCGAGTAAAGAGATGCCTGAAGGGTGTGGAAAGGTACACAAGTACATACCCTGCACAGAGCTCTACTTGCCCAAGCTGTGACTCCCATCTACAGTTCTGTTTTTAGCAGTGTAGTACCCTGCTGCCTCCCCACTGGCTCTTCTGGAGCTTTCCACGACCACAGGAAAAGACTCCAATAGTGGGGGAAGGCTCTGGCAGGGAGGAGGTAGTGGAGAAAGACTCCAATGGCTCTTATTGCTGGAGTCCTTCCCCACCACTGTGAAAAACTCCAGCAGTGGGGAAAGGCTCCAGCAGTGGGGAGGTGGCAGGCAAAGACTCAGACTTTCCCTGCTGTCTGCCCCCGCCAGAGCCTTTCCTCACCACAGTGAGAATCTCTGGCAGTGGAGAGTGGCTGAAACCTTTCTGCGCTGCCTCCCCACTACCAGTGTCTTTCACTGGCATGTGTAGTTACACCCCATAGTGTGGACACAGTGCTAGAGGAAATTCTCATGTGTCCATGACAGATACCAAGTTTTGAAATCTGCCAACTAGCCTTTCACTGTTTCTGTTGGTTAAAGTTGCATTGGAAGGGACATGCTCAGTCATTAGTTTTCCCTCCTTAGATGAACTAGGTTAGAGTCCTCAGATATAAAAAGAAATGGTTTATGTTTAGCTTTTACACACATATGGTTTAAATGTTTAACTGTGGAGATTTTTTAAGTCAATGATTTTTTGTGATTCTAAAATGTATAGTATAACGTTAAAGGGGTTGAATATTTATTTATAAATGTTTCCAGAAAACTAAGAATGATGAATGTAGTGTTAAAAAAACAAAGCTACAAAATACAAAGAAAAATAAATAATCATACTAGTTAAACAGACCTCGTGATTCAAAATACATTCTTTACAATATTTGAAACATCATTACATGTGGTCTAGGGAAGAAGTTACAAAAAATGTTGTCATATGTTCTGATGGATTCACACTTATGTTGCTAAGTTTATCTTGTGGCACCATGCTGTTGAGCAAGACTGCCACATTCTGGCTGCAGGAAATGCTTTCTTTTCATATACATTTAACACATAGGTGGTTTTCCAGAGGCCTGGCAGACAGAAGTGCTCATGAACACTATATTCCCTTCCTCCTCCCTTCAGCTATTTAGTTATCTGACAGGGTTGTAAAAGGTGTGATTAAGTACATCAGCATCCGATATGAGTACTGCAATATGTTACAGTGGCGCGTTTATTTGGATGAATGATCCCACATTACAAATTCAAATAAATGATTTATTTAATTGCACTGCTCACTACCCCAATGCTCTGAAAAAGAAGTAGAGAGGAGCCAAGGAGAGGCAGGGAAGAGGATGGTCATGGACCCATCGCTCTGTGTTGGGCTGCAGTGTTGGGCTAGTGCATGAGGGAGAGATATCAGCACCATCTGAATGGATGGATCAGATTATTGACTCTCCTGTGGAAGGAACAGCACTGGTAGAAGAACTGAGACACTTCCTTTCCTTTGCTCCTCCTGGAATGGCGCAGTTGCATGCTTCCCCTATTTAGAGCTGTGGCTTAAAAGCCATAATCTCTCTCTTATTGGGCAATTCAGTTCAATTCAGTTGGAAAGAAATAACATAAAATGGCTTGCAGGGAAAGTCTTAAAGGGAAATCTTATAAAGCAAAGCTTTATAATTTTAAATTGAGGCATGTTATGTGAAATGAACTAACAAAAATGGAGTTTTACCTGTGATTTCCAGAGTACCAGTACTGTTAGCTTTTCCTCGGTTATTTTCTGCAAAACACGTGTAGCTGCCTTGATCCAGCTTTGTGATATTAACAATTTCCAGGCTACCATCATCCCAAATAGATATCCTATTGAAAGTGTGAAAAATATACTGTGAGTTAAAATAGTTATTTGCATCAGAAAGAACAAAGTATTTCCAGTGGAAATTCCTAAATAAGTCAAAACAAAGATTACAAGGGTCTCTCAATGGCTGATGCCTAACTATTGCTTTTATATATGCTCCAGTACCCCATCGTGATTTAAACAGAGTTTAGCATGGTTAATGGGATCTGGAATAAAGCATACAATTTACATTTGGGGGGATTATTTTCACTTATTTTTGTTCTCTCAAATATTTTTTCTTTTAGTTTTGCAAGTTTAATACTCAGATAAGTGCAAGACTAATTAGAGTGACTAAAACTAGGTGCTAAGGAAGCTATTCCTGTCAACATTAATGATATTTTGACTTATCGCCTCCCTGCAATTTCACTCCTGGGTTATTTTGAGCTGGGACTTCCAAGAGTACAAACTGTATAGACAAATGCTCACTATGGATTGGCATGAGACAACCAGTCAAATTTTCACTGAGGACATGAGCTAGGATTTGAACTTGCAACACCCATGGTGAACAAATAGTGCACAAATCCAAGAAATCTCTGACCCATTCCTTCAAAACCCCTCATCTCAAAATCCCCTTTTTAAAAACAATATACCACTAATTATAGTCTCTCTCTTGAAGTAATATCATATTTTAACATCTAGATAAAATAATTAGAATTAGTTTGCAAATAAATTATTAAATAAATCTATGCTGTAGAAACCACCAAGAGGCCTCAGTCAGGGATCGGGGACCCACTGTGCCAGGCAGTGAGTGAAACAAAGGGAGTTTGGAACAGAGAGCTCACAATCTGACAGAAGAATAAACAAACAAATGGGGTTGGGTGGGGGCAGATAGAGATAGGTATATTTACATGAATCAGGAGCCACAGGCAGTCACCAGCCTAACCAATTCCAGGTGGCAGTGATTCATAAGCATCATGGCAGAGGTAGATTTTAAAGAGGGATGTAAAACAGGATAATTCAATGTAATCGTTGCTTGCTAAGGAGCACCGGCAGCTTGCCAACTGTGAAGATGAATTCTATTTCAGAAGACAAAATGTTCCCCTCACAGATATGGAAACCCATCTTTGAGCTTTTGTGCAGCTCCTATAGGCTTGAACAAACCATGTCTTTCTACTGATGATATGTGGTAGAGCAGCTCAGATCATGTCAAATGGACTCCACTAAATCTACTCAAGGAACTTGATGAGGATCGGCCCCATGTATAGAATGGGACACTACTGGTATGTCTACACTGCAATAAAACACACGCTGCTGGCTTGTGTCAGCTGACTCAGGCTCGCGGGGCTTAGACTGTAGGGCTATAAAATTGCAGTGTAGAAGTCTGGTTCTAGGAAGGTCCCAGAGTTCAGGCTCCAGCCAGCACCCAGATGTCTACATTGCAATTTTATAGTCTGAGCTCTGAGAGCCTGAGTCAGCTGACATGGGCCAGCTACTGATGTTTTACTGCAGTGTAGACATACCCTACAAGGTTGATGGGCAGCAAGTGTTGGCATAATGACATCTATTTAATGGAGGGCAATATCCCTTGGGAAAAACTTAATATTTAAACAAAATTCTTGGTTTCTCCACCAACAGACATGAAATAGCAATGGAGGACAAGCAAGGGTCATTATTTTAGATTCTGGTGGAATTTACTAACAGCTCCTCAAAACTGATTCCTTATGCACATTCTGAATTAACTCTTTTTTGCTATATGAAATAAGGCTAATGAATGCTTTCGGTATTCCTTAGAATTTTATATATAAATGCATGGACATCCCTTGCTAATTTAACATTAATTAACTTCTATCCATGGGTAGATTCCTACTTGCTGTGGGGTAACAGTCATGAATCAGCTCCAGATTTTTACATTTTGCACATTAAAATTTTCTAAACTTTCTAAATGCTGCGTTTTAAACAGTTATAAGTTAGTGTTGAAAACCGAGCACCCCCTTTTAGGCTAACTCTGATATTTTAAATTAGTTTTTTGAGGGAGTTTATCTGCAGCCAGGGAAATTCTCTGAGTATTGGGTTTAAAGCTTTGAAAATCTCATTTAATATAGCATTTAAAAGGTGACGTCTATAGTGCATGGGATGTTTAGAAATAAGCCACCTTTACATAGGCTAAACCACTACAATGGTTTATTTTGGCAAAGGATGAGCTTAAAGTAGGCTAGACCTGTGGTCTCCAAAGTGGGGTGC